GGATAGCTTCTGTTTCAGGCAGGTGCTGTGTGCCTGGGACTTCAGGGCTGAGCTTTTCCTTTCTTACCATGGAGTAAAATTCTTCTCTATATCTTTAGCAGGTCTTGTATAGGTAGGGTTGTCAGATAAAACCCAATTAAATTTTACTTTTACATAAAAAACAGACAATATATTAAGCATTAGTATGTCCCTAATATTGCACAAATAAAATTATTTATTGTTTGTTTGAAATTCAAATTTAACTATACTTTTATTTTCTAAATTTGATAACCCTGTGTGCTAGACTTTCTTGCCCTCATTCAGTCATATGAGACATCTAAGGTATTGCTATAGGATCCTGAGGCCAGGATTGTTCTCTGTCCCTCGCCCCAAAATACAGGGTTTTTAATTTTCTTTTTTAAATCTTCACCTGAGAATATGTTTATTGACTTGAGAGAGAGAGAGAGAGAGAGAGAGAGAGAGAGAGAGAGAGAGAGAGAGAAATATCAAGCCATTGCTTCCTGTAGTCATTCTGATGGGGCATTTAGCCCACAACCTTGGTATGTGCTCTGACCAGAAATCAAACTTGTACCCTTCTGGTGTGTGGGACAATGCTCTGACTGACTGAACCACCTGGCCAGGACGAGTGTTTTTACTTTTAATATTCCATCAGTACAATGCATGTTCACCTGTGCCTTGGTACTGACACTATTTCTTGCCCCTCTCCCAATGGCGAAAGGTCTGGATGTGACTCGTAATTTTCTTAAAGTGGGAGCACTCCCCTTTTCCATGCCTACACTATCATAGGAGGTTCTTTTCAATCTCCTGCCTTCCCTCCCCTCATCAGACCAAAGAGAATCTGGTGAAGCTCTAAGGGGAAGAAGCTACATGTGTGTACAAATCCTTATGTCAGTTGTGTGCCTCTTACACTAGCTCAAGTATGAAGCAATGTGTTAAAAAATTTTAGCTCTTACCTGCTCATGTTTTATCCAGCTTCTTTTCCTGCCATGTTTTACTGTTGGTGGGCAGGTGCTCATATCCTGTCTATCCTTTAAAGGACCTACCTTCCCTTGGACTTGGAGCTATTTAGTTGACCTACGACTTTAGGTCTCTGATGGGTAGATGTGTTGCAGCCTGTTGAGGCTTGGCATGTCCACTCTAGATTTGGACAGACAGAAAAAGAAACTGTGCAGAGCCTAGGTAGGAATGCTTGACACGCCTTTATTCATAGGAGAATGAGAGAGCCATGCACGCTGCAAGCTGCATGTGTCCGACAGGAAGTCCCTACCCCTTTAAATACTGGAAGCAAACAAAGCTGGCAGAAAGCCAAGATATTGTATTGTATAGTGTGAATACAATATGCAATACAATTGAATATTCAATATTCAATACAATACAATGTGAATACATACTGTGCATGCAAGCCCACTTCAAGTTAAGAGACTTATTTATCATACCCAGTCTCAAGGCTATAAGAACACTATTTATCAGGCCCATTCAAGGTTATGGAAAACCACTTCCTTTAGTTACCCAGACACCTAGGTGAGGAAGCCAGACTGCCTCTGTTTACACTACAGTAAAGTTATTAGTATATAGTTTACCTAGATTTTACTTGTTAGAGCAGGAATGATACTTCTTGTTTTCTATATATCAGAACTCATCTTTCTTCCTATTTTATAGTAATTTCAATTAAGACATAATAAAATAGAACTTTACTTATTTAGTTGGCCTTACAAATGTATAGTTTTTTTCTGTTGCAATAAAGAAAATGCATAGTGCTTTATGTTTATTATTCAAATATATGTTAAAGCATTATTCAGCCGAGAGTATAACCACACAGATGCAAGAGACTTTTAGGAGGATTGACAGCCATACTTCAATTAGGTTGTCTCTCTTTTACACTACTTGGTTCTAAAGAGCTATCTGCTGATCCTAATTGGGGTTGTCAGTACTACCAAGTCACTGAAGGTGATGCGAATGATAAAATAAATTATTTCAAATTAAGGTCTCATAAAACAATCTTTGGAGCCACTTATTTAGCACACATAGGCATTTTTATCTTTACGTGTTTTGGCATTTCATAATTCACTTACTCATTATTGTTGCCTATTTGAGCTAACTAATTTGAGACACTACTCTAGAAGGAGACATACCATATGACATGGATAATTTGCTCTATTAGTTGGATTTAAAAGTTGTCACCTTTTTCTAGCCCTTGTGTTATTTTCTATCGCTAATAACATGACAAACAGGATATTTAAGTAGCTCACATCATCATATCTGTGCTAAGTTGGGAATCTTCAGATACACTCTGACCACCTTTACTCCACACTTAGCACTTCCACCATCTTTGGGTCATGTATTTGTTTTATTTTTGGTATTCCATCAACTCTTCCTGGAAGACTCTGTCTTATTCACCTTTCTCTGTTAACTTTCCATCTCCCAACACTTATTTCAGTACTTTATGCAAAGTTAAAACTTAATAACTGCTTCACAAATTATTGAAATAACATGCTTATAACTATGACCTAAGCATGGTGGTATTACCTTATCTCTTACAACAAATGCAGCAAAAATAATCATTTTTCAGAGCAACTGACATATTGTAATTTATGCTGTGAGACACTTAACAAAATTTATATTATCATTGTATAGCTTGGCTCTATATTTTCTAATTGCATAACTCAGAGATACCTGAAACTCAGCCTGCCCTGATAGCAATCATCATTTTCCCACTAATCCTGTTTTTCCTCCTGTGTTCTCAGTCTTTGTGAATGGCACCAGCATCCATGCAGTTTCCCCAGCTAGGAACCTGGTAGTAGTCCTTTGCCCTTCTTTCCTCCCCACTTTTTACATTGTTAGTCTTCAAGTTCAGTGCATCTCACCCCTTCTGTTTCCCCAGTCAGTCCCATTCTCTCCATCCTCACTACCAATCTGTACTTAAGGCCCTTATTATTTTTCACCTGGCTTTCTGCAAAGGCCTTTTAACTGCTTTTCCCATCTTCAGTTTCACCTGCTAGAATATGATATCCTCCGCAAAGCCCTCAAGGTGCTTGTTCCAAAATCAAAATTCTTCAAAAACTCTCCAAGTTTTCTGAGGAGTCCAAACTTCCTGGCATGGCATATGAAGATGTTCTTCATCTGGTCCTGCCTCCCTTCTCCTATCTTGTCTCTCCCACTTTGCATTCTATACACTCACCTTGGTAAACACCTCATAACCTCCAGGGTGCAACAGTCTCTCTTACCAAAATGCCTTTGTGTCTGTAGCAACCTTTTTGAAACTGTCCCTTATCCAGGTTTTATTGTCTGGCTGATGACTGTACCCTCAGGAATGCAACCTGTACTGGTGGCTTTTGAGCCAGGGAGCCCTGTGTGAAATCTGGCTTAGCCATTTGATTACCTCTTTGAGCCTAATTTTCTTATTTGTAAAAAGGGAAGAATATATCAACCTATTAACTAACTTGTTATTCCAAACTCAGTTCAAGAGTCACCTCCTCCATGTACTCACCTTGACTTCTCAAAACTAGATGTCTTTGAGGATTATTTTCTATTGACCGCCTCTCTCACCCTGATCTATTCCTACCTGCTTTGTCCTACAAGTGCCCTGGGAGACTAAACATATGTAACAAATGAGTTGGGCTCCTTGACCAGCTTCCAGGTGGGTTTAGCTTTTGAGTGAGAAGAGAGAGCAGTTGGAGATAAAGACCAGAGTATCCCTTTCCACGGCCTCCCTGATCAAATCAAGCTTCTGGCCATGGTGATTTCTTTCTCTGTGTTAGTTTGCGAAGGCTGCTGCTGTAAAGCACCATACACTGGGCCAACAACATCTATTACTTCTTTAAACAACAAAAAGTATTGTCTCATTGTTCTGGAGGCTGGAAATTCAAGACTGGCGTGTCAGCAAGGTTGGTTCTTCTCAGGACTTTTTCCTTGGATGGTAAATGGATCTTTCTCCATTTCTTCACAATGTTTTCCCTCTGTGTATCTGTGTCCTCATCTCCTCCCAAAGATACCAGTGCAATTGTGTTTGGGCCCACCCCAATTAGCTCATTCTACCTTAATTATACTTTTAAAAGTCCCAAAGTTCAAACACAGTCATATTCTGAGGTACTGGGGTTTAAGACTGCAACATATGAATTTCAGGGGATGCAATTCAACCCATAACACTCCCAAACTACAGCTCCAGTCAGGTGGCCCACTACCATGGCTCCAGCTTCTACTGGGGTCCAATCAACCTATTCTTCCTCTAGCCATTTCAGGCTTAGGGGTGGCAACAGTTTCTCACCATAGTCATCTCTTACTGCCTCAGCAGCTACTTTGGGTTTTCTCAATTACTGAACACCTTTCTTGAGACAATTCCTCATTGCAGTTACCCGAACTATCTTGTTGGATTCAGCTACCTGTTAAGACACTAATATAGTGCTTTCTCTCTGAGTTCCCTTAGCCACTTCCTTTTCCTGTCCCCAACACTTAGAATATGGTATGACAACTATCTAACTCATCGCTCATGTTCTATGGAACTACAAGTTCCTTGGGAATAAAAACCATGCCTTTTTATTTTTGTATCTTGAAGGTCCAGGCTGGTATCTGGTGTATAGTAGGTGTTCAATATTTGTGATACAATTTAGTCATTGACTAATGCTCCCCCTATTCCATGTTACTCTAACCCCTCTGTCCATTTTCTTTAGATGTAAGTACATTGCCTCTAGACTGTGGTAATACCTTCTATCCATCTTCAGTGCTGACAGGTTAATTTTCCTAATAAATGATCCTCAAAGAGATGATGCACTCAAGGCCTTAAACTCACTTCAATTTCTCAGGGTCTGTCTATGGCCCCACTCACTTTCCAAGCTGAAACATACCTCTACTGCTAGCCTTTGTGTTGGTGGCAAAAACAGCACAAGGTCTTGATGGGTGAAGTCAGACCAGACCTCACTTCAGCAACCTCAGACCTTGAGTTGTAGCTAAAAAGAGCCAAGACTCAAACTATAAGTAAAAGTTTATTTAAAAAGTCACAGAGGTGAAAGAAGTGAGCTCTAGAAGAAACAGGTTCAGGAAACAAGTTACAGAAGCAAAAGAAGGCGGGTTTGGAGCTTAGGGGAAAGAAAGAAAAAGTGATGCACCTGGGGGAAAGAAAAGAGAGCCAGGAAATGTGTGGGCACACTCCAGAGAAGAAGAGCACGTTAGGTCCTCCATCCTAAAACCTTTTAATGGTTGGGATTTTAGGGGAGGCCCCAGGGGAGGATCTCAGTAGAATATTCATCAGTTTTCCAGGTGTGTCCTTTCAGGGATGTGGTCTCTACAGGTTGGTAGGTGCCAGGGCAGGGTGTCATCAATCAATCAAGGCAGGTCGTCCAGATGTCAACATTGGCATAGGTGGTTTGGTTTTGTGGCTTTTCTGGGCCTGGAGCTGAAACACAACTGAGGTCTAAATGTTATCTATCCCTAGGGGCTAATGCTTAAGGGAGTGGTTGTGCAAGGGCTTGTATGGGTGTCAAATGAGGCTATTCTCCTGCCCCTTATTCCTCTTCTAAGGGCGTCTACCACATAACTAGCAACATCACAGGGGAAAAAAGGTCAGGGGAGAGTCTGAACCACATACCCAGCAATATGAAAGGTCAGGAGAAGATCTAAACTGCAGACCAGCCATATGAAAAGTCAGGGGGTTTAAACTGAATGACCAGTGATATGCTGGGGGAGGAAAGGTCAACCAGGGGTGAGGCCTTTGTTTTCTTAGTTTTGCCTGTTGCTAGGCACCTGGGGCTTTCTGCCCTGATGACATTCCATACCTGGCCTACTGTCCTGTTCTGTTCAGGCCTGTCTGACTACCTACCATATTTGTGCCACTGCTCACACACCTCCCTCCACATGAAGCAATTATTCCCTTCCTTATCTTTGGATGCAATCTCATCCAGCCTTCTCAAGGTGAAGTGTTCAATGTATTATTATATCATAATTACTGAGCCACCCAAATAAAAGTGGTCTGGCATAGGAGCAGGGTTTAAAGTTGTGAAGGCTTTGATCTGTCCTGAGGGTTGACCTCCTAGTTGCTGGATAGTGGGAAGGTTGGAGTAATCAGAGGTGGGGCCTGGGTAATAAGGGGGGAACATGGAATAGCAAATATTTTCTGATACAGCTTATCTGTGTAGTCCTAAGAAAACAATTTAATATTTTTGTGTCTCAGTTGCCAAGTGGCTTAGATTAGAATCTTAAGATTGTCAAAGGTGCTTCAAGTTCTGCAGTTCAATTTTCTTCAGTATGTGCCAGATTCGATCTGCTGTCTTAGCTCATTGCCAGCCATTCATCTCTCGAGGCCAGGTTTTCCTCCAGAAGCACGGGCAAAAAGGTTTTCCTTTACAAGGCCGAATATTTCCCAAATTATGTGTGTGTGTGTGTATGACTTTTATTTATTTGTAACTCCCCTGAAGTTCAAATCTTCCCTTGAAAATGGTAGCTTTGAGAATCCCATAAAGGGCAAGGGGAAGGAGTGGGGATGGTGAAAGGTGGGAAGCCACTAAAATTGGTTTTGGCTTATAAACAAGAGCACATGCTGGTATTGCCTTTATTATGTCTGGGTAGAAGGTGCATTCATCATTCCATAAAACACAACACCTTTGGAAATAATACTTTAGGAACCAAGAGTTCTATAATGTGGTACTAAGGGAAACCTTACATTCCTGGCTCTAAATAACCAAAATTATATTTGAGACACATGATTTTATATTTTGAAAAGAAATTGCATAGCAGAACTTCAGAAATATGAGGATGCCTATATTTACAGAAAAGAAGAGGCTGCTGAGGCAGTTATAATAGTACCCTCCTCTAATTTCCCAAAGCAAGTTTTACACTCAGAGTATACCACAGTGCATGGAAAATATTTACATATAAGTCACTCTTTTCTACTGACTTATAACAGAGGTGCATTAAATGTGGGGTAGTTTTGTTTTTATTTTTGTATCCACAATTTTTGGACAATGCCCAGAACATAAGAAGCTTTCAATAAATGTTAGTTAAATAAATTTTAAAAAGCCACCTGAATGTTTGGAGATGGAGAATATGCATGCCCAGGATCTTTGAGGCCATGTTATCTGGAGAGAACTGGGCTAAGGGGCAGTGGGCAGGGAGTAGATTCAAGACCAGGAAGCGCTACTGTATTTAGGCACCCAAACCATCCATATTATGAAAATCGAACCACTTGTCCATTTCTTTTGAAATAAACACTTACTCTTCTAGCATTGTCATCTCTTCAATTTAATATTATAAGAAAAATCTAGTAGATGTGCATGGTATTCTGAGATAATTTCCAAGGGAAATATTCAAATAAAACCTAACACAACTATGACTTGTCTGGGGAGAGATCAAACTGTATTTTTCCCCAGAAAAAAATACTGACTTTTCTTCTGTCAATATTTCCCTTCTGGAGGGTATCAACTTCCCACTACAATCCTTTAGGAGAGAATAGTTCCTACTTTGTGTACAATGAAGCAGAAAACTGTCTAGCCCTGCCCAGTAATGGGAGGCACCTGCTCCTTTTCAACATTTCATTCATGGAACTATTTGTACTAAAGAGGAAGACGTTAAAATAATAATTAAGTATTTTCCTCATTTAAAGTTGATGTATATGTCCCCCAAATATACCATAGCTTTAGAGTAACCAGCTGTCCTGGACTGCTCAGGACTAAAAGGCCTCCAAGGGCACAGGACTTTCCATTTCAAAACCAGGGAAGTCCTGGGCAAACTGGGACCATTTGGTTGCCCCACATAAGAGATACTTTATATCAAGTCAGAGAATCAAATTACTTCCTCTTTTTATATAATGATTAAATGTCTTAGAAATAAGACATTCTACAAAATTAAAAAAGAATAGATAATGGCTGCTGCAAAGACTATATATTTCTTTGGGAAATAGGTAAAGAGGGCTGAGAGTATTATCTTATTCTGTGAAACTGTTACACTAAACTGAAAACTGGAAGAAGGAATGGTCTTTTGAAGTGGTATTGCTGACCACTTGCTTAAACATTTTACTTCTGCAGTCCTATCTGTGATAGTCAGATATGTACTAATCTTGGCAAGTGGAATGAACACTTACACCAACTCCCAAGTTCTAGAGTTGCTATTACTCAGGAGAAAAAACACACATACATTCATCCACAGCTTATATAAAATAACCACAGAGAGCTACAGAGAGCTTCCTGCTTCATTTGGTTGTTATAACTGCAACAAAATAGATTTTAAAAGCAAAAGTTCATTTTAAACTGTATATATTTTAAAAAGCATTCCAGTGAGGAAAGATGCCCACCTATCACACTGTCTTATATTTCTATCTCTCTACCCATCTATAGCACTTACTCACCATTGGGCTGCCAGACAAAACCTCCACAAGCAAGAGGGGAACTGTCATTTATGTCACCATTTTTTCTGTGTGTAGAGACAGAGATCTTATGTCACCTTTAAGACAAGCTATGCCTTTGATAGAGAAAAAGCACCTTCATGGACCCTTTAATTAAGAGAGGTAAAATAGCACCCCCTTGTTATTTTGGAGCAACATGGGGGAGAAAGCGATGTCATTGCAAAGCCAAGTATAAATGTTTTTAGGTTGAGACATTGCTGTAGTCTGTCCAGTGTGCAAGTAATGCATCAGTAAACCAAGGCAAATTTTGGCTCAGACTGTCTACCCCTTTTCAGGGTTTACTGGGTATATGAGATGTGAGACAGTAATATGCCCTAACTTCCTGTGAACCAAACATAATTTGTGCTGCAATTGCTTATCCTCTCTGCAGTTGTTCTTCTGTTAACTGTTTGTGCAAATCTTAAGAGAAGCTCTGCATAGAAAGGGCACACAGGTATGACTAAGATGGTAAAAAGCACAGACCAACTGGCACTTAATGGGTGTCTTTCAATAACATGTGTCTCTGGGTGAAATATCTTATCTGAACAGGGGCAGGTGGCCTCCTGCAGACCAGTGAGAAAATACGAGTGCTCTGGCGTGAGTAAGAAAGAAAATGACCCTGATCTGTTGTCTAGCCTAAGAAGCACTTTATTTATGATGGTGTTCTCATAATTCATATGGTTTTAATGATCAATGATTAAGCAATATAATGATAAATATTAAGAAAAGTAAAACCCACCAGAGTGTTAAATAATGACACCATTATGTCATATGAAATGGACTTTCCCTCTCATAAGTGAAATTTGTCTTGGGACATTCCATTCTCTGAGGAAACCCCCTTCTTGCTGCAGCCCCCTACCCAGACATTTTTTAATGTCTTCAGATCTAGTTCAATTTGTTTTACAAAATAGGGTGAAAAACAAACAAAGCCAACCAATACAAAACTCTTCGCTAGGGAGGAGCTCTAAAGGAACATTTAGCAGATGGGTGTTAGATTCTCAAAGGAGGGCTAAACTTGACCAATCACTTCTCAGAGCTGGGGCTTCCCTTGCCATTTTCCCTAGGTCTTTACTTTTGGGCCATCCCCTGGCCCTTGCAGACATTTGAAGAAGCAGAAGTGCACCTCTAAAAAGAGCATCTGGCCATCAGGTGTGGTAAATTCAGAGAAATGAGATCCTCCAACCAGGGATCTTTAGGGACTATCCCACTCTACACTAGATTGCAGGCCAGGTGGTCACTTTGAATAAAGTTTTATAAAGCTCCGGAGAGCATGAACATGGTACTATATAGAAGGCAATTGGTAAGGGTTCATGAGTGTGTCTCTTTGTGTGCAGGTAAATTAGGGTAAGAAAGCAAGGCCCAAATTGTATCTTACACCAGTACTGTCAGACCTAAATGAAAAAGATTATTATTCTATTTAGTCTAAAAAGATATTAGTGGTTCAGATTTTGGCAGCTGTTTTGAACTTGGATCATCAACCAAGAAAAAAATTTTTTTAAACCATGAAAAGGACTTGTTGTTTTTATCTCTGGTAGATGTTTCTTGGCAGAGATAAGGAAGTACATAGGTTAAGTCAAACCATTCCAGATAAGGAAAATAACGATAGTCAACCTACAAGATGGATTTTCATAAGCCAGGCATGGTTTCTTAACCAAAGACCAAAGAACAACATGATATCAAGGGCAGAGCTACAGAAAGTATTGGGCTTTCTCTCTCTCATCAGGATATACTCCCTCAGTTTAAAAAACAAAGAACAATAGAACTTTGGTCACTCCTAGATGACAGAGCCATCCCACATGGAAAGTTCTTTGCTCTAGAAAAGTAAAGGTGGGTAGATGCAGTGTTAAGGGAGTACCTGGCACATAAAAAAGGATGAATTATTTGTGAACTTCACACTTGGACATATGAATGTTTCTTCATATTTTAGGAACTATTTTAGGTGCTGGATACTAAGACTGATAGCAGTTGGCCCTACCTGCCATAATGAAGCTTACAATTCTGGGAACTAAGTATGCTGACAATATGTCAGCATGTATACAAATTAGGATGTATAGGCTAACAGTGTCATCTTCCACCCAATTTTTAGGAGACAGGGATTTGTCTTATTTTTCTTTTGCCTGATACTCTGCTATATTATCTGCCTAATAACTTCATTCCTCCCAGACTGACCTTGCCTCTGCCAACCCTCCCAGAAATTCTACATGCTGACACACTTTACTGACTCCCAACTAAATGCCTGCTAGCAACTCTTTATTAGCCTCCTTCCAGATTCTCCAACTCCCTCTCTCTGCCCAACTAGCCTAGCTAGATATCCATTCTTCTTGCTGTTTTTCTCTGACCAACCCCACAGACTCATTTTCTCTGCCCCTGAGACTTGAGCTCCCCAAACCTCTTAAGTATAAAGAGGAAACCAAGTTCATAACCAGAAGACTGCTTGGAAGGTTGGAAATCAGTGGCTTTTTAAAGGTTGAGGTCACTGAGAAGTCCATTCCACATGGCCTGAAACAGGCAACCGGGTACCCTCTTTCTGGACAACTCTGGAGAAACAGAAGATGCTTTGTGCTTTTGCTTTGGTAGTTCTAGATGCCACCTTTTTTCTTCTTCCCACAATTCATTCGGTTCTAGCTTTCTTTTATTTTCATTCATGTTTTGGCTAGATTAGCTCTCTTCATTTTAACTTCTTGTTCTTAATTTGTGACCTGAGAATTCTGTAAAGAACTAACATTATCTATTAGTGTAGACATAACTGGTTATCAGTCAAGAAAAAGAGAGAAAAAAAGAATGACACAAAAAAGAGAGATTTCATTTCTGTGGAACCACTGTATATGTAACAGTGGCAGGAGGTACATTTTGCTCTCCAGGAACTGAAGACATTTGTAGCTGTCATAACTGAGGGGTGCTACTGATAAATAGTAGCCATGGCCAGGAATACTGCTAAATATTATACAATTGCAAAGGACAGCCCCCCACCCCCCAAAAACATTATTCAGCCCAAGATGTCAGCAATGCTAAAGGTTGAGAATCTCTAAATCTCTGGATTACAGTATATTCAAAAGGCCAAGGAAGATTGCATAACTACTTCTTGCTTGGGCAGAAGTTTATCTCAATTCTCTGAAATTATCAGTAACACCCCTAATGATTTGGCTGACTCTAATGGTTAAGCTTCTGATTGTGGGATTTTACACACTCCCACCTTAAAGTTCGAAGAATTGCTCACTAATCAGTTATCCTTAACCACATGTGTATGGACCAGCTGGCCCATATTTCTCACTGGGTACACATGAAGGCTTAATTGTTTAGGAGTTGTTGCCAAAATTTGTGGTGTTGGATGTGCTGATAGACATAAAAATGGCAAGGGAAGTGGAAGTAAAAAATCTTATATGGAGAGAAATTCCACTGGGCTTATCAATGCCTTACAAACTTTATGAGTAAGAGAATGCAAAAAGATTCTCCTTTAGATGGGAAGCATGCCAGCTTTGACTAGGAGTACCCTTCCTTCCTTCCTTTCCTTCCATCATCAGGAGCTATAAAAGCAGGAAGAAAGGAAAGGGCTTGGAAATGGGCAGGCCACCTCTCTGGCCTGAGAGCTTCAGCTGTGAGGTAGTGCTATGAAAAGAGAGAAAATAAGGACCAAACTGGATCAGACTTTCCCTTCTCTTTTTTAGTAATAGAAATGCAAGACTGAAAAACTGATAAAACTATTATGATGGAAGGACATGGAGTGAGGTCTAGGATAGGATGGAGGGAAATAGTCTTTTTTGTTTGTGTTTCAATAAAACTTTATTTACAAAAATCATACCAGCTGGCCGTTGGGCTATAGTTTGTAAACTTCTGATATACTAAGCAGACGATGTGCATTTTAAATATAAAGATGCAGATATTGTAAGTTAAAAATAAAATATACCATGCAAACACAAATCATCATAAAGTTGAAGTGGCTAAATTAGTATTAGACAAACTAAATCGGGACAAGAAGAAAGACTTCTTTACCAAAAATAATGAGGAAATTTTACAATGATAAAAAGGACAGTTTATCAAGAGAAAATGCTGTCCTAAATGTGTATGCACCTAACAAAACTCTTAAAAATATATACAGCAAAAGCATATAGAGTTCAAAAGAGAAATAAATAGATAAATCCAACATTATAATGAGGTATTTCAAATTTCTTTTCTCAACAACTGTTAGAAAATGTGGACAGAAATCAGTAAGTAAACAAACCTTTTACAACTGTAAAATCCATTCTGTGAGGGAAATATTCCTTTCTGGATACCCTCCTGCTCCCCAACACACACAAAATAATAAATTTTAAAAATCTGACTCTTCTGATATCTTATGTTAATGTTCTCTTCTTTTCTCATTTAACAAAAAATTATAAAATAAAAACTGAGAACGTAAAATCTAAAGTTGAGGATCTGAGCGTGTGCATTTTATAGGGCCATATGGAAAGCAGGCCAGAATGCCAGATCTTCTGTTAGATGATCACCATGGCAAGTTCAGGAGAGACTGTTAAGCAGATTATCTAAACTAGAGAAATATACTGATAAGGACTGAAATAAGAGAAAGGACAAGTTCCAAATTAATGACAAAAGAAAATTTGGGTATGGATTTGTCATTTATGGGAAAGTACCATCTCATGAACTGGCTGTGTTCTTGAAAGTTCAATTGGCTACTGGAAGCAACAACAGCACAACTATGAGTGGAAGGAAGTAGGAATAGTTCACTAATTGCTGGATAGGACTTTCGAAAGTTCATAGTCCAATGCTTATTTTAAAGAGAAAGAAAGTGGTTCAGAAAAGTTGATAGTCATGCCAAAGATCACTGTGAGATTTAGGAACAAAAGTGGGTTTTGGCATTCCCCAGGCAGTCCACTAACAATGCTGTGTTGTCTACAAGCAAGAAGACAGTAAAAATGATGGTGAGCAGCAGAGGGGCAAGAGGTGGGCTGTCAGGGTTACTGGGAGGCAGTCAGGAGTAGAAGTGAAGGTTGTAGGAAAGGAATACTCCAGAATTAAAAGGCAGAAAGTGTTATGCCTGGTCTGGGTCCCATCCTACCTGCAGTAGACAATTTTAGGTGTACCCTGTGTGGAGGCTTTCTATATGTGGGGATTTGGTACCTATTGTTTCACAAAAAGATGTGGCATACAAGGAAAAAATATGGCCAAGATGGAGTCTGCAAGTTCTCTCCAAAATGTCTGCATTTTCTCACTGCTGTTTTCTCAGCCCCCTGAAATTCATTAATTTATTCAACAAATATTTACTCAACCTACCCCCATCCCCCCCCCCCCCCCCCGCCATGTACTGTCCCAGGCCACATGGCTATAGCAGAGAATGAGACAGACAAGCCCAGTTCCTTGAATAAGTCCAGAATAAGTCCAGTTCCTTTGGAGTTTGCTTTCTAGTGAAACAGATAAAAAGTAAGCAAATAAATATGATGATATCTGATCCTGTTAAGTGCTACAAAGAAAATAATACAGGGTTAATATGATAGTGACTGGATAATCAACTTTAGATTGGGTGAAGAAAAGCCTCTTTGAGGAAACGACTTTGGTAATATGCAAAGAACTAAAGATTGAGATGTCTAGGTAGAAAGCAGAGTACACACAAAGGCCCAAGTGTGTGATCAAGCATGGTATGATCAAGGAATACACAAAAAGCAAATGTAGCTGTAACTGTCAGTGAATAAGGAGGAGCAGATGAAATGAGGTCATCGGGGATGAGCTCAGCCCTATCAGACAGAACGTGTGTGTAACTTACTACGTCTAGGGCATTGCTGACCATATAAAAATGAAACTGAGAAATCCTATCTCAAGAATTCTGTCCCCAAGGAAGAAGTTAAAAGTTTTAGTAAGGGTGACGGAATACTCAAAACAACTCTGCTACAGGTTACGAAAGTGTTCCACTCCAGACAGAATAACAACGCAGACATTACTCTGTCGCTTAACAAGGACAGGGGCTTTCCAAATCCAATTGTATCAACACACCCATGCACCTACCAGAGCCAGTTTATAATGTAATAGGAACACACTAGATGTCCAAAGCCACGGTTAGAGGTCTGAGATACGGCCATTTGCTCTCCCAGGATAAGGAGGTAGGTCATTTCAGAGATGAGTAACCAAGCCCACCTTTTCTCATCGCGTGTGCCTTCTCGGTCTTCGTGGGTGGGGGAGAGCCATAGGAATCCCCCGACCCGGGCCTAAATCCGCCGTATTTAGAAAAACCAGTCAGTGGAGCCACGGTGACTAGCACCTGATTCACCGAGGCACTCAAGGCAGGCTGGCGACTGCTCGTAACAGCCCCCACCCCCAACCCCCACAAGTTGCCCCAGGGGAAAAGGTCTGCGGATGTTTTGGTGACTTGGACCTGCCGGAGATAGCTGGTGACTCTTAACTTCTGGGTAAGGGCGAGGCCTGCGCACCCCTGTGCTCCGCCCCCGCCATCACTGCTCCGGGAACGCGCGTGCGCGCTTGATCGTCGCCGGGCGCCGGGAGATTTTGGTCCGCGCCCCTCCCCGCCCGCGGGAGCCGGACCGCAGGTCCCAGGGAGCCGGCCAGGGAGGGTGCGGGGCCGCGCTCGGGGCTTACGCGGGCGAAGCGAGACCGTTTCCGGCCGAGACGCCGCTGCCGTGCCCGGCCCAACCAGGAAGTCCCGGGTGGACGGGAGGAAAGCCCCAGAGTCTGTGTTGAGTCCCTGGAGCCCGCCCTGACTCCCGGACTGCCTTGGTTATCGTAGTTGTAGTTTGTACTTAGGGCACGCAATTCCTCCCCAGCTCCTCCTCCTTCCCGCCCCACTGCTCCTGGTCCTCCTGCGGTAACGCCATTAGGGAGCCTGCGCCTTCATTGCCAAGGGTACTTGAGTTCGCATTCAGGCACCATGGGGAATGGGATGAACAAGGTAAAGTGTCATTCTTTCATCTGTGCTGTTTTTGCCTCCACTTTTCAGTCTTCCCTCCGGTAGTGTTTGCTTGTCAGAGCAAGCCCCAACGTTTGCCTGGTCCTCGCTCCGCACCCGCCTCCCTGGTGTCGCGTCCAGTGGACTTGAACGTGGGGAGGGGGCGGTGCATCTGGGCGGTGCTGGGTGAGTCTGCATTTCCTGGCACCCCCTGCCCCCACCGGGGCCCTGCTGGCTTCTGGGTGAGCAGCCCCCCTCACCCCCGCATCCACCCCCCCCCGCCCCGCCAGTCCTACCCTGCCAGCCCTGCCCTTGGTATTCTGCGGCTGTCGACCAGCTTGCCCTTTAAAAGCGTTGGTAGTTCTGCCGACGCATTAGCTGAGCTCTGAGCGCTGCGGTTTCTTTTTTTTTTTTTCCCTCCCCCCCCCCTTCACTCCCAGACTGGGCTCTTGAAGCATCACCACCCGTGTTATTAGTAAACTGCAGTAGATTGGTGTCTTCTATTCTGTAACTTTCTTCTCTCCTCATGGTTTTTGTTTGTTTGTTTTTACCACCCCCCCCCCCGTGTATACAGACAAGACTTTCTTGTGGACAGAGAATTTGACAGAGGCCTAAATCCTGGGGTTGATGGGATGAGGGCGGGACAGGTGAGAGAACAGATTCAGAGCTGATTTATATTGGGTCATGTGGCTTCTGCAACAAGGCCAACCTGTTGGCTGGCTGTGCAGATTATGCCTTTTAGAAAATCCGTGCAGCATTCTTTTATTTGTTCTGGCCCCCACCTTCAGCTCTCGTTTGTCCAGACGCCCACCCCCTAGGCTGTGGGATAGTCTTGTACCCTTCCTGCCACTGGAAGGTACCAGACGTCAGCTCTTGCAGTTAAGAGCTGCCTGGGAGTTGACCCGGTATGTATTCATGGCAACTACAAGGTTAAAGGATGAATAATCTGATACTACTGGTTTAAAGGAAAGACATTAAAGCAAAAACTTTAAAGCCTTGACTTTAAGGACAAGTCCATGGGTCTTTAAAATGGTCCTGGGGCAGAGATTAGCTTCTGGTCTTCTGCTTCTCTTCCCCAATTAAATTCTACTCACCCACTTCTCCACACATATTCAGGTGTCATATTTGGTGGATGTAATCATGTGGCTTTCTTTTTTGATTTACGTCAGCACTGGGGTCAGTATTTTCTTTTAAATATATTTGATTATGCCATTACAGTTGTCCCATTTTGATTTGTTTTCTTTTAGCTGGAGTGTTAGATGTGGGGTAGGGAATGTTAGGTGACAAGGAAAAGTGCAGTGGAAGTAGTCCTGTGTACACAGTTAACTCTTTTCTCCTGCCCATATTGTAATTCTTGTGTTCTGCAGATCCAGTTTATGAAAGAACTATTGTGTGTTTTGGGCCTGCATATCTGGGGTTTTTGATAACTACAATTGTATTCATTGTGTGTGGGTTGTTTTTGTTGTGGGGGAATGGGTGGTGGGACACTGATGAAGTTTGGAAACAGACTGCTTGTCTTTTGAATAAATACTTGGCTTTATGTCCCCATTAGTACTGGGATTTGTCAGCATCACAAGTCTTCTGCTTCTTAAATTAAAACAGAACAATAAAGCTGCCTTCACAAGTTTGTGGGCCCTGTCTGCTTTCACATTAATTGTGGTCAAACTTTAGCTATCCTTTGTTCTTTCTACAGTTTTTTCCACTTAAATTGTTTACTCTCCAGCTCTTTCATCATTTAATTTGTTACATTTGTATTATAATTTAAAGAACATATTTCAAAACACAAATGATGGTCCAAGGGTCCAAAGTTAATTTCAGGGTTGTCGACAAAAGCAGTCTTATTCATATCACAATTTTACCTTTCAAAGAAAGTAATAAATTTCTTGATATTGTTATTATATGAACCGTCTTGTATTGTAAATAGAACCACTATGTCTAATGTAGGAATGGAAAAATATATATACAGATAGATTTGGAGACATCCTTAATTCAACAAACGTTTGTTGTATACTTGCTATTATAGTAGGGTGCTGTAGTAGTAGAGGTGGTGGTGTTAGAATGTAATGGTAATGACACAAACAAAGGTCTTTCATAGAACGTTCAGTATAGACCAGTGATTGCCCAATAGAAATATGTGAGCCATATATTTAATTTAAATTTCTTTAGTAGCCACATTAAAAAAGTAAAACAGAAACAGGTCAAGTTAATCATAGTAATATATTTTATTTGACTGAAATATATTCAGAATATTATCATTTCAACATGTAACCAATATATAAAACTATTCATACAATGATTTATAGCTTTTTTGTACTGAGTATTCAAAATCTGGTGTATATTTTATACTTAAATCATACCTCATTTGGCATTAGCCACATTTTAAGTACTTAGCTACTGTGGCTAATGGCTACTGTATTACACAACATGGGTGTCTGTGTGTGTGTGTGTGAGAGAGAGAGAGAGCACACATGCACAAACACAGGGCGGGGAGGAGTAGAGGTTCCAGAGGAGAAGATATGCAATTTAAGAAGCTTGGGCTAAGTAGACATGATGAGAGAAAGTTAGAAGTGTCATTCAAGCCAGGCCAAGGATCTTTCTGGGGTACAGATGTCTAAGCTGAGATCAGAATGAATCACTCAAAGTTACAAGATTAGTTAGTGACAAAGTAGGTTGCTGAGAGCCAGAAATTAAAAGCCTTAACTAGAATTCGTCCATGTGTTACTGTGTGACTTGGAACTAGGCTTCATTCTTTCCGTATCTGTAAAAAAAAAAAAAAGGTTGTTATGCAGAATTAGTGGAATTATTATAAGGTGCTAACCATACAAATACTTTTCTAAAAACATTTATAAGTAACATATGATAAATACCCTTAGGACTAAAAACATAATTTACAGTATGTGTGTCTTGAGATTACTGGGAAAAATTTTCTTTCCAATCTCAGTCAAGTTGGTCATCCTTGGCAAAGGAAAACATATGAACCACCCCGTGCAGATTCTGTTCTGACGGCTTTCAGTATAGCAGTTTTTATTTACATTTCATGCCTTCATAGAGGGTCTTACCCAGTTGTTCCAATCTCTCGAGGAAGAACATCATGCCCATCTTAGGTTTACACAGTTTGTTAACACAGAATGTAAAGGAAAAAGGCTTTTGTATCCTGGCCAATTGAAGATGATGAGAAAATACAGGAGAACACAGCAGTTGTGTTCTATTATTTTCTGAGTCTCATATCATGTACCTGCAGTTTATAAAATCTAAGCCTCGCTGTGGTCCTAGGAGGTCATTCTGGCTTATCCTTTTTGTATAAGGTTCTACAGATTGGGAGATGGAGACTTAGATTAAGTAGTATGACTATTTAATGATGCTAGGTCATGCTAAGATCACAGCATGAAGCAGCAGAATGGTAGAGACATGCCAAGTCAGGCTTTCTGATACCGCCATTCCTCTTTCTTTTATAATAATGGGTCTCTCATGAAAAAGTGATACACTAATTGAAGTGTTTGCCCCCCCTAGGTCATGATGCTAGGAAGTGGCAGAACTGGATTTGGAATCCAGTTCCCACTAATTTCAAAGATTGTATCAGTCTTTCCTTTGAGCTAGGATGCCAGTTCATCCCAAGTGAATTCCAAAGACACTTAAAAGTAACTTGAAAAACTCCCCAGAGTTACAAATTAGTTGCAGAATAGGAAAGCCACCTCCTCTCTTCATGTTTGATATTGATTAAGAGGAGGAAGGAAAGGCAGGCAACTAAAACTATCATTTCATTGCTTTTTGTGCGATTCCCAAATAGATTCTCTGAACTGGCCCAAATTATAATCACTAATGAGCTTATTGTATGCCAGGAAATGTTTTGAGATTTTACCACATAGAGCTCATCTGATCCTCACCACAACCCTGTGAAGTAGGTGCTGTTATTTGTATTCCCATTTTACAGAGGAGGTACACAGAGATTAAGTGACCAGCCCAAAATTACCCATTGGATAAGTGGCAGAGCCCAGACTCTAAGCCAGATGATCTGGTTCATAGCCATAATGCAGAGTGCCTCACTGTGCTGCTAAGATCAGTCTAGTAAATGTCCCTAGGAGGACTAGGGTTAAACTAAATAGGTTATTGCATGCCAATGTCATGTTTCTGTAGAGCCTTTGCAAACTCCTAATTGACTCAAAGTTCTCTCAGGTGTCTAAACCCCTAACTCTTTTGGGGGGCCTATAAAGAAAACTCCTGTCCTCATCATTTTATTAGTCTTAAGTACTAGAATACCTCATTAAAAAACAAAAATCTAGTCTTTCTAGCCAACATTCTGTTGGAGAAATCCACCCCAAATGCTTCCATGTGCATGTTTTTATCTTGACCAACTCTAACTAATGACCTAAAAACAGGTTCAAGTATTACCACGCTAGGGTAGGATGTGAGGCCCATCTGGCTTGGGTGTCTTTTCTCCCACTGACTGTCAGGATTGGTTCAGTTCATCCAGTTCTCAGCTGGGTAATCTGGTGGCTTCTTCGTTTTTCATGGCTCCGTGTCCTCTGAAAGCATCCTTCCTGGTGGGAAAGGGTGCTGTCCTGGTATTTACAGGAAGCTTACTCCTGTACCTTACTCACGGTAAGGGGGGCAAACACTTCAATTAGTGTATCACTTTTTCATGAGAGACCCATTATTATGAAAGAAAGAGGAATGGCAGTATCAGAAAGCCTGACTTGGCATGTCTCTACCATTCTGCTGCTTCATGCTGTGATCTTGAACAACACACAGTGTTTCTGAGCTTCAGTTTATTTCCCTTGATTTATAGTGATGTTGGGTAGTAAATTGTCTAGTCTCTTTATTTGCTCTAAAATGAGTATAATGATATTTACCTCAGTTTCTACTCAAATTTTTGAGAGAAGCAAGTGAGAATTTATTAGAAGACATTTTGGAGAACTATAAAGTACAAATCTGCACTTGGATTTGGTGCATCAGTAGTTACAATAGTGATGGCATCTGCCTTGGATATGGTTGATGTCTGTTTTAGAATGGCTTTTTTCTCCTTAGGAAGATAAGGGAGTATAGTCACAAAAGAAGTATAGTTCAAGGAGTATATTCAAGGGAATATGCCCCTTATGTATAGTCCAGGGTTTCTCAGCTTCTGCAGCATTGTTCTTTGTTGTGGGGACTGTCAAGTGCATTTTAGGAGTTTTAGCAATATCCCAGGCCTCCACCCACTAGATGCCAGTAGTCCCCCCCCCACCATGTGACAACCAAAAATGTGTCCAGGTATTATTACTGGATGTCCCCTGGAGGGCAAAATCATCCCCCATTGAGGGTTCTTGACTTAGAACCTCCTGAGGCCTGTGTGATCTGGAGCTGAATAAATCTTAAAAGGGGGTAGAGGGCCTAAAAGGGTGAGAAGTACTGTTTTGGTATGGTAAGGAGCTGGAAGTTCAGACATCTTAATCTACTAGATGTTGCTGTTTCCACATGGTGGCACCTGACTTGGTTGCTTTCATAATTTACCCGGTTGTCTGTTCACCCATTCATCAAATTACACTATTGAATACCTGCTATTGTCCAGGCACTGTGCTAGATCCTGTAGGGGGAAATAAGTGTGAAAGACAAGATTCTGCCAAGATCCTCGAACTAGTCCCAGGCAGCTTACAGAGGAATCCCTTTGTGGGAGGTAAGTGTACCGTGGGTGGTGAGTATACTGTGAGTGGCACACTGGTATCGTTGTGTCTGTGGGGCTGATGGTAGTTCCCTGATGGTAGTCTTTCTGTCTCCTCTACACTACTTCCTGGATACTTTCTCTTTTCAACATTGTAGTTTTATTTCATATTAAAGGAATAGATGCTTAAGGCATATGAATGTACATAAGACTATTCTCAGAATCATCCTTTTATAAGTGCAAACTGGTTAAGTCCATAAACAAACGATATTAAGAAAGTCTGTGACATTTAACCCTTCAAGAACCCACCAAAGTTCTTCCACTCACCTTGGCTTTAAAATTCAGAAAGGCCTTGCTGACCTAGGGAGAATCACAAACCCTCCCAGTCCCATTACCTGTAGTGCTGCTTGATCAAGGATTGCCACCCTTATATCTGTTTGGGGGGTGGTCCTAGATTCCATCGCATCCTGAAAAACTAAAAGAACTGTTTAAAAGGCAATTCAAAATATTTTCTGCCTTAGAAGCAGTATCCTTTTGTGCTTAAGAGGTTTTTTTTTTTTTTTTTTGTGGCTAAGGAGTTGATTTTATGCATTTTTGAATGACCAGTGTCAGTAAGGTGTGGATGTGAATAATATCCATATTATCTGTACCCAAGAGGAGCCATCAACCATGGAAAATTTTTAGCATGGTCTCAAAGGATTATTGTAGAAGGAGTCTACCTTTCATAATCTATCTTAAGATATTCTTTTAGCAGAAAACAAGCAGTGTTATCTGCTTTATTGACCAGCAGTGTCATCTTCCTTTAGTGATTATCTTTTCATGTGCCAGACTCAATGGTAGGATTTGGGGACACAGCAGGGCAGAAGACAGACATGGCCTCTGCTTCAAGGTCAATCAGAAATGCCCAAATTAAATAATTTTAGGTATGGATAAATGTGATGAAGAAAGTGAGACAGAGTGATGTGATAGAGTGTTAGGGACTTTAGTGGTTGGGAAAGTCCTCCCTAGGAGCTGTCATCTTATGGGACACCTAAATGACAAGGAGCCACATAGGTGAACAACAGGGAAAGAACATCCTTTGCAGAGGGAAAGAACAATTGTTTCTAAGACCCAAAGATGGCTAGGATCAATTCTAAACTTAATCTTTTAGAGTCACAGAACATTTCCAAGTTGCATTTGTAATTTTTTTCTTTGATCTATCCTTCCTTCTTACCAGGTGAGCATGGTTTCACTCCTGCTGTGTTCTTGCTTGTAGACTGAATTCAGACTCCATGAACTGACATGTTATCCCAAATGAATACTCACCTGTTCCCTTGGCTCCTCTGTAAGCCATCTCTCTCCTAGCAAATTATTTTGTTTCATTTCATTTTATTTTTTGTACTTAGGAATTGGAAGCAACAATAATATGGGGGAAGTTGGGTCAGTTTTTTCAAGTTTCAAGTTTGAACTGCAAAGCTGATTAGTGTAGCAGTTTAAATTTCATGGGCTTTTTATTCTCCTTCAAAAAATGTAATTTTTCTCCCTGCCAATGGCCAATCCCCCAGTCTCCCTTAATCTTGTTATGTAAATTTATCCGGAAGAAACTACAAAAAATGAGATTGAGAAATTTACTTTTTATTTCCAGCTTGTGAAGCTCTAGCTTACTCTTCTGGTTTGGGAAATGGAGTTAAGACTTTACTGATACAACTCTGTCTTCTTATATTGCTTTAAAATATTAAACTGCATCCAAAATGTACATCTTAAATGACTTTTAGTAAGTTGGCGCCTTGATTTTAGTGAGTTCAGACCTCTGCTTCTGCCCGCTCTCTGCTCTCATGTCCCTTCAGGATGCTGCTCTCCTCCAGGCCCAGCCCCAGCCCCTGGCCTGGCATCACTGACTTCACACAGAAGTCTGACTGGGCAGACAGGGACAAAGTTTATTCTTGCATCATTTAACATTGGTTCATCTCCCTCCTTCCCTTGCTTTACCTCTTCTCACCCTATTCACATTGGTTATTTCTTCACTGTAAAAACATGTATTTACTTAAGTACCCTACCAATCAAGTGAAAAACATTTGAGCTTTCAGGAAAGATGAAAACAAAATATGATGCAGGCAGTAGGTAAATTGGACTTCTCATGGGCCATAGTCAGCCTGCACATGTGTTTTATTTATCTATCACAATACTGAAAGTTGTTCGTCTTAATGCAGTTGACATTCTTTGAAAACTAGGCTGTTTCCCATAAAACCTGGATGATGAAATTGGGGGGGGACCTGGTTGTGTCCTTGGATATAGCAAAAATTGGGGAAGGTGCTTGGCATAGGGCAGAGGCAAATGGAGTTCGGAGTAGGAGGGCTCTCCTGTCAGAGTGACTTCTGACTGGTTCTTGAAGTGCTACTGGGGTGCTGCTTTCAGGGGGGGTAGGGCTTTGCTAGTCTGTGACTTGCCTGATGGTTTGTGAAGCTCATTTGCATTTGTATATTTTTCTGGCTTGAAAGGCCTACATCAGGGTCTGTGGTCCCAACAACAGAACCCAAATGTGGCTGATTTAGGTAGAATAGGTCAGAAGGCCCCTATAGTAATTTGTTCACATTCCATCAGTTTTTAGTAAGGCAAAGATGCTTGAAGAACTTCATGCCTGTGAAGAGCATTACTATGTGCTGCTTTCAGAGTTCTTGGTAGGAGTGAACAAAAATAAGGAGTGAGAAGCAGAAAGGGTGTAGAGCAGTGGTGCTAACATAAGGGTGTTGCCTAGGAACTGGGGGTCTGCAGGGGGTGCTTGTGAAAAATACAGTCCCCAGTCCTCCTCTCAGATCTACTGAATCATACCAGTAAGATCTGTAATGATTCTAATGGAATGGAGGCTTGGGCTGCAGGCTTCTCCAGAAATTTGAATATTTAACAGATTCTGGTGGTTCTGATGGATTGTTTCATTAATTAAGTTGTACATTTAGATAGTCCACTTATTCATTTAGCAACTCTTTAGTGAATAATAATCATGAACTTGCTGCGGGCCAGGAGGTGTGTATGTAGCTGTGAGTGACAGGATGTGTTTGCTGCCCAGAGAGTTTTCCAGACCAGCAGAATGAATAGACCTTTACTTAGTAATGCCTCCATGACAGCATCACTACAAAGGGAGTACAGCAGTTTATGGGCACCAAAGCAGGAATTCATTCCAGACTCGGACATCAAGACAAGGCCTCCCTTGGGCATGAGGCAGAGCTGCGCAACTGTGGGAACAGTACAGAGGCCTCAGACAACAGAGGGTGGGTTTACTGGAGCTGTGAGAGAAGGCTGGGATGTGCGAGAGTGTGTAGGGTGTTGGAGGGGGTGTGTAGGATGTAGTAAGGAAAGGAGGAGTCATGGGAGAAAAGGCTGGTGGGAGGGTTAGAGGGGATACTGGAAGCACTTGGGTTTGTGGCTGGACTCAGGATGCCAAAGAGCAAGCACTTGAGGGGCTTGAAGTGAGGAAGGACACATGGGATCCATGAGGACCTGCTGGAGATCCTGGTCTTTTAAGTTCTGTGAGTTCATGGACGCCAGCATGCTACCATCCATACATTATCAGGTCAGGCTTAGTACTGGCCATGATCAATCCAAAGCCTTGGAGACTGGTTAGGTGTGTTCACCATCTTGGAAGGTGCTGGAAGTGGATATGGCAGGCGGCCTGCCTGAGCTATGTTCCAGCTACTCTGGTGAGGGCCCGCATCTGTGTGCAAAACACTGTCACTTTCACGTCTGTAACACTCATGTCTGGTCTATGTCTCTCCCTTAGATCCTGCCTGGTCTCTATATTGGCAACTTCAAAGGTGAGCTGGTTTTGTTTTGTTTTTTTGGTTTTGTATTATTGTGGTAAAATATATATAATATAAAATATGTCATTTTAATTATTTAAAGTGTACAGTTCAATGACATTAACTACGTTCACATTGCTAACTATACCACCATCCATCTCCACAACGTTTTCATCTTCCCCAACTGAAAGCTAGTACTTCTAATACCCATTAAGTACTAACGATAATACCCATTAAACACCACCTCTTCATCACCACCCCCAGCCCCCGGAAACTACCATTCTACTTTCTGTCTCTATGAATATGACTACTACAGGAACTTTATATAAGTGGAATCATACTGTATTTGTCCTTTTGTGTCTGGCTGATTTTACTTGGCATAATGTCCTTAAGGTGCATCCATATTGTAACGTGTCAGAATTGCCTTTTTAAGGCTGGATAATATTCCCTTTTATGTATATACCACATTTTGTTTATTCATTCATCTGTTGATAGACATTTGGGTTGCTTCCACCCAAAGGTAAGTTTGCTTTTTAAAAGATCATCAGCTTTAGCCTTCTCATGCATGATTGAGCCAAGGTATAAACTCGATTTATTCAAAGTCTGGTCTGGATATGTGCTCAACCCCCTTGTAGGACCCTCATTCTCATTCCCTGACCCCTTAGCTAACGCTGACAGAGGGATGTAGACTGTGTAATTTCCAGTTTGACCTCTGATCTTCATTTTAATTCTGCACACTTATGGGAACTTGATCTAAACAAAATGGCTGAAAGATATGCTTAGCAGCCATGTAATTTATTTATAATCTTTTATCACTTATTTCTAGTTATTATTAATAAATAAATAAAAGAAGCTTGTTTGTTTTAATTACCTGGAAAAAATAAGAGGCAAATTTATCTTTGGCAGATTATTCTCATCTTGTGATGATTTTTTTTTAAAGATTTTATTTATTTATTTTTAGAGAGAGGGGAGAGGAGGGAGAAAGAGAGGGAGAAAAGTTTCAATGTGTGGTTGCCCCTCATGATCCTCCCCCTACTGGGGACCTGGCCTACAACCCAGGCATGTACCCTGACTGGGAATCATACCTGTGACCCTTTGGTTCACAAGCCAGCGCTAAGTCCACTGAGCCACATCAGCCAAGGCTAATGGCTTTCCTTTTGACACATTCCTCTGAAGCTTATTAAATATGTATTTATTGATTTGCCATCAGCTATTGACTTTTTATTTTTAGCTTCTCTGTCTCAAAATGTTCTGTGGTCACAGAGGTAAGTAGAAACCCATGGAGCAGAGTGCATGGAGGCAAAGAGGCAAAGAGGGGCAGGTCCCCATGCTGTGTGATGCCTTGAGTGTATCTAACTTGAAAACACTGGTTCCTTAGCATGAAGACAGGATGTACTGCAGGTGGGAAACATGCAGAAACAAGTTGACCGTGTGGGGTTGAGAGAGCCAAACTTTGTCATGGCTATCTGAAATGCAACCCCTCCCTCCCTGTACGAGCCAGAACATACTGTTGTCATTTTTCTGGTTGTTGTCTAAATTTGTGAGTTCAGATTCAAATTGATTATAAAAACAATCTTTATGATTTCTCTGCATAATACTTATTCTCACTTTTTCCCTAGAAGGCTCTCCTCAGAGAGAATTAAGGACAGGGAGCTGACAGCTAGGTGCCAGTTGCTATGAAAACATGTTAAAAATAGTACTGGAGTTCCTAAATAAGTTTTGTACTTCTGAAAAAGCACCAAGTGCTTTGTGGTAGGTAGCCCATTGGAGCTGGAATACATTAAAGAGCACATATCTTTAGAGATTTATTTAGTGAGTTTTTATTAACCGCTTTCATGGGGAGTATCTTTGTATTTGAAACAGAGTTTAGGATAATTTCTTAGAAGTAAATTACTAGATGAGGTAGTCACAAATTAAAAATTGTAATAAAGATCGAAGATGGCAGCAGAGAAGCTGGCAGCTCCACCACTTGCTCCTAGACCCAGACCAGAACTGGAGTCAAAACACAGAATGGAGAGTGAGTGAAAGCATCTATGAGTTAGCGAGTATGCGGACCAGAGAGTGGGGTGTGTGCGGGAGTGGGCAGGAATTGGCCTGCCCTGTGTTATAGTGTAGCTGGGAGACTCTTTCCAGTGCCAACTTGAAAAGATCTTGAGAAAAACTTTATCTTAAACTGTCAGAGGTTCTGAAAGGTGGTGTCCAGCCCTGTCCATAAGAGATGGTGTGATTTTGGGGGAGGGGGACTGTGTGAAGAACCGGCACCCCAAGGACCGGTGCTATATAGTGTGGAGGCCACACAGAAACTGTTTTTAAAGGGGCCCCCACACTTGTGCACAAAGGCATAGCAGCTCTGCTAACCAAAAAAGCAGAGGAATAGAATACACTGAAGGAATGGTAGGACCCAACTCAGTGTGGCTTGTGAGCAGAAGGCTGTTCAGAGAGGAGAATTTGGGCGAAACCTCCTTCAAGAGAGCGACAGGCTCGGGACTGGAAGGCAGGAGTAGAATGCCTAAGATTTGCTGCAGCCAGCCAGATTGCCTTACAGAAAGGCAAGCACAACCCCCACCTGCGGGATTACAGATCCTGCAGATCATTGAGTCCAGGCTCAGGAGTTTCCTGCTGGGTACATTACTTCAGGGTAAAAAAAGAAAAGGCTTTGAAAGAACCCTTCACCAGACACTATAAGCTGCAGATCCTTGGGTCTTGATCTACTAAACTCAGTAGAGCAGAGAGAAAATAGAGACTGGCACAACAAGGCACTCTCTTTTCTCCTGCATAGCTGTTAAACAACATTCATTTCTTATCTTTCGAGTCTGGGCATAATATGGCACCAGGTCTTATATTATTGTTTATTTCAGATCCTATATTTTGCTCTTCTCTTCTACTCCATTTTACCTTCTTTCTTCCTCTTCTTATTTTTGTTTTAAATTCTATTTTCTCTCTTGTTACAACTTGTTTCTATTCCACAATCTATTTCTTCCTACTCAAAACCATTTGTAATTGTCATTAGTCACCTCGCATTCTTTTTTCAGTTCTTAAAATACCCTTATTCTCTTTCCACTGTTATCAGTCTTTGCTCATTGGTTGTGGATAATGTGGTTGTTTGTTGCGTTTCTTCAATCTGATTTCTAAATAGTCACTATTTTTGAATTTCAGTTATCGAATTTTATTGTTCCCTTCTCTTATTGCATTTTGCTTTTCTCCTGCCCACTTTTTCATTTTAAATATTAATTTTCTCTGTGTTAGCCTTGTTTTCATTCCACAGTCTTAGTGTTCCTTCTCTCTTTGTCTTCTCAAAATAACTTCTCTTTTTTCTAGACATCTCTTAAACTCGCTCTCTTTTTTCCCTCTTATTCCCATCCCACCTAAATAAATCTTAGCTCATTTGTTGTTGGTATTGCTGTGGTGGATCTTTCTCTCCAATTATGTTCCTATTATGTGTGTGTGTGTATTCTTTTTGTTGTTTTTTTCTCTCACTTGATACACACACACAGACACACACAGTTTCTGTTTAAACCTAATACTATGCTTCCCTTCTCTTACTTCATTCTGCCTCCCTTCCTTACTTTTTTGTTTATGATGCAAATTTTATTTTCTTACTCTTTGCCTTGTCTCTATTCCCAACTCTTACTATTGTTCCTCCCTTGGCCCTTACAAAATTACTTATGTTGCAGTCATTTTGATTGCAACATAAGTAATTTTTCCTAAAATTCCTAAATATTTGTTTTTTTCTTCTAATTTGTTCTAAATTTCTTATAATAGTCTTAAACCCTTTCACCTTTATTAATATTGGCTTATTTGCTATTGATAGTGTGATTGTGAGTGAGGGTTATTTTTTCAGGTGTGTGTTTGTGTCCTGGGCTGTTTGGTTTTCTTCTGGTAACACCTGTACCACAGTGTACAAGACATGGTAGGCAGAGTGACTCTCAGTCTGCCACCAGGAGGGGAGGGCCCACCAAAGAATGATACAACAACCACCAAAACCCAGTTACAACAAGAGAGCCACACAAATGGCATAATGGGTATCAACAACATCCAGTTCAGGAAATCAAGGAGCCTGTACCACTGATCCCCACAGGTCTCCTACCACACAAGGTCACACCACAAAGACAGGGTGTCAAAGCAGATCAATCTAATACACAGAAGCAAACAAGAAGGGTCACCTGAAAAAGAAATAACCCCCAGTTGAAAGGAAAGGAGTAATCCCCAGAAAGACTACAAAACAAAATTGAGGCAAAAAAAACTATCTCACAGTGAGTTTAAAATAATGATCAGAAGGACACTCAAGGAGCTCAATGAGAACTACAAAGAACTCTAGAGAAGCTACGAAAAAGCTTACTGTGAACTACACCAGCATAAAAGAGGACATAGAAACTATTGATAAGAGCCAAGAGGAAATGAAAAATATAATATCTGAAGTGAAGAACATGGTAGAAGAAATTAAAAGCAAGTTCGTTGAAGCAGAGGATGAAATCAGTGAGCTGGACGACAAGGTAGAAAAAATTTCCAGAAAAAGCAACAAAATTGAAAAAGGACTAAAAAAAAAAAATTAAGAGGGAATGAGGGAGATACAGGACAACCTGAAATGTAATAATCCATGTAACAGGGATATCAGAAGGAAAAGAAGAGGATGGGCAAAGGATAGAAAGCCTTTTTGAAAAAGTAATGAGAGAAAACTTCTCTGACTTGATGAGAAAAAAATGTCACCTAAGTCTAGGAAGCACAGAGGGTCTCAATCAAGATGAACACAAAGAAGCCCACTCCGAGACACATCATAATTAAAATGGCAAAATTCAAAGATAGAAAATCTTAAAGGCAGCAAAGGAGAAATAGCTAGTAATATAAAAGAGAGTTCTGGTAAGGCTAGCAACTTCTCAACAGAAACACTACAAGCCAGAAGGGAATGACAAGAAATATTTTAAGTAGTGAAAAGTAAAGGCCTGCAACCAAGACTATTCTACCCAGCAAGTCTCTCAATTAAAATGGAATGTGAACTAAGAAGTTTCCCAGGCAAA